GGAAACAACTCCAGGAACACCCGTTTCATTTCTCTCTGAATCCTGGGGCACTGGAGAAACCCCCCTCCCATGGTTTGTCTCGGACAGTGGGTGGCAGCGACCAGATAAAATCACTCAGCAACCGTGTGTGCGAGAGGCGAGCGGCGGTGCATGTTGTCGACCCGCCGCCCAAGAATCATCCCATCACTCTCCAGGACCTCCTCAATCTCCTGTTTGCAATCCCAGAAGAGCGAACAGCATTGCGGTAACGAGCGGCTCGGGCCTCGTGCCCCAGCGCGCGCGCACTGTTGCCCAACGACAGGACGTCGCCGAGCTGCTGCAACATGGAATTCAGGGTGGCGTAGCGAGGGCAGGCAGTCAATCGCTGGAGCCCGCCCCTCTCGGCATCGCCAGTGCGCTCATTGATTTTGAAGAACGACCCAACAAACTCGCTGGTCCAACGGGCCACAGGCGTGCTAAGATCTCCGGTAACTGCTTAACAATATTTCTAATTCGCGCGCGCGGGGCGGCCCCTAGGGTGCCCCAGGCGAAAAGTACCCCAGCCGATCCCCGGCTGGGCCCCGGGCGATCCCCAGGGGGGAGGCCAATTTTCGCGACCCCTCGCGAGGATCGTGGCCTCCGAGGGGGGGGCTGCGATCGACTGCCCCCCCCGCCCCAAGAGGCCCCCAAGAGCACCCAAAGAGGCCCCATGGGGGGGCGAATGCGCCGCCAGGGAGCCCCAAGACGCCCCCAAGAAGCCCCCAATAAGCCCCCAAGACGGCCCCAAGAGGCCCCAAATAGCGCCCCAAGGCCAGCGGAATGAGCGAAGCAATCAAATAACATAACGGATATCGCAATCGAGTTGTAGGCGACAAGCGAAGGGTCCAACGCGCCTCCCATCGAACGGTTGAATCGACGCCTGTCTAAATATTTAGCCACAGGGGCTACCAAATATCTGTTCCAACCATCATCTCCCAGAGTAATGCCCGAGTGTTTTCCCCAACTCTGGATCATGAACCTTCGGGCCCTTGCCCCATGCTCGGCGGGCCCCCTCACCTCCTCCTCCATCGCGACCGTCCCATTGAAAAGAATGGCGCACATGCTGAGGTTGAGAATGAGGCCCGCGGCGAGCGCGCTGTTGGCCAGCGCCCGCAGGTGCACAGGGAGAGAAACGCACGGGTCCTGAGGGAAGAACGCCATGCCGTCAGCGAGCGCGGTAAGCTCTGACATCGGGGATGGCAGCTGGTTCGCGAGCCCCCGCAACACTGGGCCAAGGCAGAAAACAAATATACTACCTGACATCGGACAGCCTCGGCGTAGTTACTCCACGTCGAATAGGGAGCGGCCCCTCGGGATCACCCCCACCGAAACGTCAGTGCACAGCGCGGAAATCGCAGCCGACATGGTTTCGGGAATACCCGTGGCCCGCAAAACAAACAGGATCCAGGCGTGGAGCAGGCTCGGAAGCGCAGCTTTAACATCGAGGAAAACGCACCCGGCTTCCCCATGCACTGTAGGACCCCATGGCGGAACACGTTGCCCCCGAGCTTGAACATGTCGTCAGCCATCTGCCAAGTCCGCGCGAAACCGCTATGCATGGGCGAGGCGCCCGACGCGCGCTGGCCGGGCAACGTGCGATTGATGGCAGATCCCAATATCTTAGCGTCGCTGTTGCCCAGTGTGACGGGGCGCAGCTCGCCGGGGGCCCGCCGGCAGCTGGCGGGGTCTTCCTCGTGGGAGCCTTTGGGGATGCAGACCGCCGTGCCGCTGTTGAATTCGTAGACGGCGCCAATCACGACGGGGCCACCGTTTTTCCAAGCGGAATAGCAGAGCCCATCGGGGCCAGGGGCGCAATCATCCAAGCGGGAGACCAACGCCTCGAACCATTCCCAAGACAGGTCCCAGCTCACGGCGGGGTCGACCCGGGGGATGTACGGGGCGAGCTCGTTAGCGGCCTCGGGAGACATTGGGGCTTCTTCGTGAACGCGGGCCCAGTGGTGGCGGAGTTTGTCAGCGCCGCCTTCAAGAACAGGAATATGGGACCCGTCTGGCACACGCATGCCTGCAATGGTCATCCGCCGATTGCGAGGGGCCCAGGTCTGCGCCCGGCGTCGAAGTTCCTGCAATCTCGCCTCGCGGACGCCCAAGGGAAAGAATTCGCCCATCACTTCTCGCCTTTCCTCCTCGAACCCACCCCTGGCCACTCCCCCCGCGTGGCCGTGGAAGCCCTGCCCATCGATCCACTGGGCAGCGCGCGGATCGATGATGTCGGCAAGCTTCGGGGCGATCTTAACAGCAGGCCTGGCGGTAGCAGCCCCGCCAGCGCGCGCGGCCCCATTCGCTGTGAACAGCCGGGGCGGGCGCTGCGATGCAGACTCGAGCGGAAAGCGCCGTGACTGTTGCTTGACTCTGGAGGCTGCCAGAAGCATGCGCTCTTTGATCTCGCGAGTTGTTGTAGACAGGTCTTCCGGAAAATCGATGTCGGCCAAGATGCGATGCAGCGCAGCGGGGTAGAGCTTGCTCGGCCACGCAAGATGGCACCGGGACCTCCCCATCGGGGACAGCAGCGCGAAGGGGGAGGTAGGCGGGCAGTTGTCGCTCGGGGCCCTCAGGTCGCAGACGTCCCACAATGTCCCAGTGATGGGGGCGGTGGTCTAACATGTCGCCTGCGTGTGAGTTCGTAAAGATTCTATCAATTCTCGAAAGAGCTTTAACTGTTGGGTGGCCGTTGGCAATAGACGTAACGCGATGAATGGGAGAAGGCTGCAGCGCCTCAAGCATTTCGGGGAAGAGCGTCTCGAAGAAGCGGGAGATGCCGTCTGGCGCAGGCCAGCAAATCTCCCCTGCGACGCAATGAATGCCCTCGCCAGGAAAGGAACAGTTGAAATCGCCTAGGACGAACGTCTGCACCTGGGCAGGCAGCACAATAGCTTGGCGGAGTGCTCTAAAAGTGTTTTGCGGCTCTGCTCTCGATAGTTTGGGATCGATGTGGACGTTGATGATCGTGATCTCAGCGTCGCCCGCAGATGCCCGAATGCGCTGGGTCCCCCCTGGGATCACTACCGAGTGTTGGAATGGCCGCATTATGTGAAGGATGGCGGGGTGGATGACCGTGATGACCCCAGCGCGGATATATGTCCAATCGTCGAACGACCCGAATATACCATTATGAGGGAGGACCCCTTGGAGCGCCACGCGACCCCTTCGGGCCCATGGGTCTCCTGGAGAGCAGCAGTACCTGGAGCAGCACACATAGATAACATTCGACTTCGTTTCGCGGATCGATTTTCACGGTGTACGTGAACCGATCCAAAAAAGACCTTGAGTGTTCCAAGTACTGAGACGGAGGCCAGAACCACTATACAGCCCAGAGGGGGAGGAGGGCCAAATGGGGGACTCAGGAGCCTGCGACGGGGAGGGAGTCATACCAGCCAGCCTGGTGCCGGGCTGGGAGCGGATGGCGCGCTTGCGCTGACAGGAATGGAAAACTTGCTGCTGATGCGGATGGCCACGAAGAGTGATAGGTGAAGGAGCCTCAGGCTCGAACCCCACATCACCTGACTCGTACACAAAGTTGACCAGACTCGCATGCGGCTCAGAAGTTGCTCTAATGTAACCCAGGGCTGTCACGCCGGTGGCGGCTTTGATGAGGGCTCTGGCGGCCTCGGTATCAATGCCCCACTCCCTGAGATTGTCGCGGTTGGGATGGATGTTGAACTTGTTCTCGCACTCCTCGGCCGTGTGGAAGAGCACCCAACGATCGTCCTCCTGGCTGTCTATGTTGGAGAATCCGCGAGCGCCGTTGACACCGAGCTTGTGGCTGCTTGGAATCCATTTTCCAAGACCATGTAGCTTGGACAATATGTGAGGCCATAGACTTGAGAGCGCGCGCTGGCGCAATATGTGGACCAGCGGCATGTCGGGTCTGGCCGTGATGTTGACCTGCACCTTCTTGCGCGGGTCGTGCCATGTGGGCATGTTGTCGTGTGCCCACTCACGGAACTGCTTGCACACGTCCTCGGTGCTGAAAGTGGACGCTGTTGTAACTCATGGACACTTTGTGGAACTTCGCGGTGATGTTCTCGTGAAGAGCAGGATGTGTGTTCGCCAAGGCCGACTTCATGTTGGAGAAATGAGAACGACGATGAGTTTCCAACACTGCTCGCTGGAACCCCCTAATCCAAGCACGAGTATGGTCAGGCTCATCATCTCGAATCGTGGTGGTGGGGGCAGGCGGGCCCTCGATCCTGCGTCTCGTCGATCGCGAGCCGCTGGTGGCCGTAGCGCCGACCGAAGATGGAAACCGAAAAATCGTGTTGATTTGCCTCTGGATGTCAGCAACCGTCGAGTCGATGATGTTGGAGATGCGGGCGGTGACGTCGGCGTCCTCCCGTGGAGTGGAATTTCCTTGCTGCACGGAGGTCTGCAGCTCGGCGAAACGGCACACCCGTACCGTTGACATCGGATGGACTGTGGACACCATCTCTGAGTAGGACTGAGATTGATTCGCTTGCAACTGGCCAACCTGCATCTCGAGCGCACTGGCACGGCAGTTGTAGCTCTCGATGGCGTGGCGCATCGTGCCCATCTCCTGGCGCATCTCAGCGGACTGTGACTGAATGGCTTGTGTGGGTGCGGCTAGAGCATCCGTGGAGGCCATCCTGGGATCGACGGGGGAGATCCGCATGGCTGCTGAGCGCGGGCGAGCGGGCGGCAAAATGTCGCTGCGTGCGACAAAATCGGAAGCCTTGGACCACCCGTTGGCACTGTCTAAGCTCGAAGCGTCAGGGACACACGTTTCGAACTTGAGCCAACATGGCTACGGAAGAGGAAGAGGAAATGGACGGGGGAGGAGGAGGAGGAGGAGGAGGAGGAGAAGAAGGAAATGGAGAGGGGGAGGAGGATGCGCATCGGGAGGGCGAAGAGGGACACGAGGATGGGGAAGGCCCATGCACACCGAGTGCGCCGCCCCACGGCAACAAAAAAAACGCTGGCCCCGCCCGAGGCCGCGGGGGGGGCCATCAGAACCTCTCGTTGGCGTCCAGGCGCGTGAGCAGCTTCCGAACCAGCTTCGACAAGGCTCCGACCTCCTCGCCGAGCCGGTCCAGCTGCTCGGCCTGCCGAGCTCCGCCCTCGGCCCAGGAGGCTCGAACGTGTAGGTAAAACATCGAGTCCTCGATCCTCTACCCTCGAGCACTTCTGCCCTCGAGGATGGTTCGATTCATGTGTAATGCACCTGTGCGTATGTGTATGTGTATCTGTATATATGTACATCTGTTCTGCCCTCGAGGCTCTAGGATCGAGGACGTTGGTTCTCTGTTCTTCTCCCTCATAAAGCAACAGCAGCTCGTGACCCCGATCGCTCGGTAACTTCCTGCTGCGCAGGCAAGGGCGCCTAACTTCGCGCTTCGCGCTGCGCGAGGTGCGAATAGCTTCGCGCTCTCACGCCGCCCCCCAGGGGAACCGAGGAGAATACAAGGAGGAATCGGAGCCGAACCGCGAAGCGCGAAGAACTCCGCGCCCCCAAGGGCGCCCTTGGCAGGGGAGGGCTTTGGGCGTCTTGGGCACTTCTCCAAGGCTGACAGCACACTCCTCTGCAGAACGCCCTTCTTTAGTGAAAGGTGCCAGGGGCACTCCACGTGCGCACGGCACCGCATTCCGAGCGGACCCCCGCAAGGTAGCGAATCGACGTTCAGAACAAACATGTGTATCTTGCGAAACGCACGCCGACTAGTTAGTAAAAATGACGAGATGCCAATGTCGAGTGAACCGGTGCAGATTTCGTCTGTCGACATGTCTGGGTGGGCGTTATCTCAACGTCCGAACCGTTGGGACCTCCAGAGGCCTCCAGAGGCATCATGTCGGGGAGACGTAGGCGTAGAGGTGTGGCCAGGCCAGAAGCGTGCCAGAGGAATGTCGCCTTCAGCGGCGCCTGGAACAAGGAAATGTGAGCATCCAGCTAGGTCCGTTACCCCGTCTGGGGATACCCCCTCACCACGAACCCCCCCCGATCGTGGTGGCCAACTGAGACTTCTGGGGATGTCCGCGGGACCTCCGGGGGGATCATGACCTGGCGCGGTACTGAAGTCGACTAGCCCGGCCTAGAGGAGTCCCCCCCCTGCAACTCAGGGAGATGGGAAGTATACTCCAACACCGTGCCTCCACATTGTGTACTTTGAGCCAGGGCCCTTGTGTGTGTGTCGCCTCCTGACCAGGCCACGATACCATACACGCCAAGATCTTGACCCAAAGAGGACTGCGGATGCCTTGTGGTGTGCCCATTCCCTCTCCCGACCCTGTTGCTCCTGCTCCCATCCTCCCGACTCCTCATCCTCCTCTTCCTCCTCCTCCTCCTGATCCTCCCCGGGCCGCCTCGGCCCTCCTCGTCTTGCTTAAGCGTTGGGGGGGGTGAATTGATCGTATGCTCGCTCCGCATCAGCGGGACACCGGTGAAACACGTAGTCCGAACACGATTGGGTCTGACAATGTGCCACACAGCATCCACAGTTTCGACGGACGGCTGCGGTCAAGGTGAAGTGGAATGTCATTGGGTAAGCGTGGACTGCGAGAAGGACAGCGTCGGCGATGCTGCAGCTTCGTCGGGCACCGTGTAGGGCACCCCTTGTGTTCTGCACAACGAACAAGACTACAATGTCCTGCATGCGGCCGAATCGACGAGCGTGAAGAAGTCCCGCGCGGGCGGAAGGTGCAGATGGATTAGCCCGAAAACGGCCAACACATGGGATATCTATATTTATACGGACTGCCAAAGACAGCCGCGAATTCAGAGAGGAGAGGACCCGCCTTGCCAACAAGGTGGGCCAAGTGCAACTCAAGCCTAGGAGACGGCCTGCAGTCCGTGGATGCGTACAGTGCAGATTTGCTGACCCCTTGAGGCCTCTTCGGCGTGTAAGATCATTGCCCCTCCCCAGACCTCTTCACTGGGAGCCTGGTGGGCCAAAATATGGACGGGGTGGAGGGCGGATCCGGCGGGCGCGGCGGGCGGACTCTGATGTCCCAGAGATGCTCCCAGATGCACCAAAAGTGCTCCCGATCGGTCTTCCACTGCCCAAGGATGTTCCGAGACGGCGCAATACGGCCCCAAGACGGCCCCCAAATTGCTTCAATGAGGCCCGAGGAGCTCCCGACACAGCACACGACGCTCCCAAGGCGCCCACGACAAACTCAGGAGGGCCCCCAAGAGGCAAAACGAATTGACGCTTCGGCTGTGCTTCTCTGCAGATTGACTTACTCAAATTTTCGATCGTCAGTATGACTAAGACAACCTAAGAGCCCCGCAAGATTGCCCCTATTCAACCCAAGGGCCTTCTAGAAGGCCTCCAAAAAGCCCAACACGACTTTAAGATTGCCCAAGAGGCCGCGAATTGCCCAAGAGACCCCCATGAGGAGCCGAAGCGGGAGGAACTCGAAGGGACCCTGGGATCCCTTCCCCACGTGACGGCCCCGAGACCCTCCACATGCCCCCAACAAAGCCCCAGGGCCCCAAGAGGCACCCAAGAGGCCTCCGTGAGTCCCCCAACAGGGCCCCAGAAAGACCCAGCGGGGTAACTTTTGAGCACAGCCTTGGGCCCAAATGGGAGCACCGCGACAAAACACTTCTACAACAACGCCCCCCAGAAAGAGAGACATCCAATGCCCCCGAGGGAGTTGGCGGTGTGGCGTAAGCCGGTGATCTTGCTAAGTATCAGAACTCTCAAGTGGCACATGTCCCTTCGATGTTTGATGTCGTTAGGTGTCCCATGGGCCCCCAGGCCCGCCCATCGCCCAAGATGTCCTCCATCGGTGGGGAAGGGGGGGTGCGCAGGCCCGCGCCGATCAGCAAAACAATGAATCAGCAAACGACCACTACGCGAGATCTGGAGCCAGCGAATTCCATGTTTTTCCAAACCATCCTGTGGTGATGGGTTCTCGTTTTGAAGAGACGGTCCCCGCGTTCCTCCTCTCCTCTCCTCTCCTCTCCTCTCCTCTCCTCTCCTCTCCTCGCCTCGCCTCGCCTCACCTCACCTCACCTCACCTCACCTCACCTCACCTCACCTCACCTCACCTCACCTCACCTCCTCCTTCTCCTCCACCCTCCTCCCTCCCCTCCCTCCTCCCGTCACCGCCCCTTGGCACACCCTCACACGTAGGCCCATTTCGGCACATCCCTCACACGTGTCGTGGCCCCATAGGGAGCTCCACCGAAGGCCCCAGTGGCCGCGTCAGCATGCGTCCTCCCCTCCCACCGCATGCTCATTTCGGCATACCCCTCACACGTTTCGTGGCCCCATAGGGAGCTCCACCAAAGGCCCCAGCGGCACATTTCGGCACACCCCTCACACGTGTCATGGCCGCGGCCGCATGCGTCCTCCCCGCCCACCGCAAGCCCATTTCGGCACATCCCTCACTCGCTTCGTGGCTGCATAGGGAGCTCCACCGAAGGCCCCAGTGGCCGCGTCCGCATGCGTCCCCCCCACCCACCGCATGCCCATGTCGGTACACCTCTTACACGTTTCGTAGCCACAGGGGGAGCTACATCGAAAGCCCCAGTGGCCGCGTCCGCATGCGTCCCCCCCCGCCCACCGCATGCCCATTCCGGCACGCCTCACACGCTTCGTGGCACCATGGGAAGCTCCACCGGATGTCCCAGTGGCCGCGTCCGCATGCGTCCTCCCCGCCCACCGCATGCCCAACTCGGCACACCCCTCACTCGTTCCGCGGCCCCATAGGGATCTCCACCGAAGACTCCAGTGGCCGCGTCCGCATGCGTCCCGCCCGCCCACCGCATGCCCATTTCGGGACACCCCTCACTCGCTTCTTGGAACAATGGGGAGCTCCACCAAAGGCCCCAGCGGCCGCGTCGGCATGCGTCCTCCCGCCATGTCGGCACACCACTCACACGTTCCGTGGCCACAGAGGGAGCTCCACCAAAGGCCCCAGTGGTGCAGTTCGCATGCGTCTCCCCCCCACCCACTACAACGCTCTGTGGCCCCATAGGGAGCTCCACCGAAGGTCCCAGCGGCGCAGTTCGCATGCGTCTCCCCCACTCAGTACACCGTTTCGTGGTCCCATAGGGAACTCCACCGAAGGTCCCAGTGGCCGCGTCCGCATGCGTCTCCCCCCCACCCCGCACGTTTCGTGGCCCCAGAAGGAGCTCCACGGAAGGTCACAGTCGCGCAGTTCGCATGCGTCTCCCCCGCCCAGTACAGCGCTTCGTGGCCCCAGAGGGAGCTCCACCGAAGGTCCCAGTGGCGCAGTTCGCATGCGTCTCCCCCACCCAATACAGCGTTTCGTGGCCCCAGAGGGAGCTCCACCGAAGGTCCCAGTGGCGCAATTCGCATGCGTTTCTCCCATCCAGTACAGCGTTCCGTGGCCCAAGAGGGAGCTCCACCGAAGGTCCCAGTGGCGCAGTTCGCATGCGTCTCCCCCGCCCATTACAAAGTTTCGTAGCCCCTGGGGGAGCTCCGCCGAAGGTCCCAGTGGCGCAGTTCGCATGCGCCTCCCCCACCCATTACAACGTTTCGTGGCCCCAGAGGGAGCTCCACCGCAGCCGATACCCACAACTGCGGTATTCACAACTGCGCCACATGCTTGGGTTTTTCGCTAGGCTAATTTCTTCAGCTGTCTGATGGGTGTACCTCGGCTGCGTCGTGGCTGCAACGGCGGTGGATGGGACCATCAGTGCTGCAGCGCCCCACGGCTTCTACCGGCCGGGGCTCAGGAGAAGGCAATCGACCAGACCTCGACGAGATCGGGGGATGCTGAGGATTCCCCCAACCTTTCGCTCCGTTTTGGAGTCCCTGGGGCCCTCCTGGGCCTCGCGAGGGGTGCTCTGGAGGCTGTGGGGGCCTCTTTGGAAATCCAGGGGGCACCTTGGGCCAGGGGCACTGCTTGCTACACCAGAATCTGGGCCGTATTCGTATCAGCTTGACCTCAGCTTACGGTCGGGAACTGTTGCTTAGTGCTAAATGTGACGCCGCAGAGGCCTCGGCGACACGCTATGCCTTGCAATCGCTCCGCTCCGCGGGGGGATCGGAAAAGCTCCAGGCGAGGACGCCTGGAGACTGGGATGTGGACAGCGCGTCGCGCCGCAGCGTGGCGGGCCAGACCTGGCAGAGTGATGCCTCAAGTCAAAGTTCCTGACCGTACTTGACTAGAAATAACAGGACCCCTAACCCTTTGGGAGGGGCCTAATTTAGGAGGGCCAGAAACAATCGTTTCTGCAGATGTATCGAACCAAACCGCCCAGATTGTTCACACCTAATGCAAAGGCGTGGCCCCATCTCTGCCCAGGGCTCTCCTGCCACAAAGCGCATAAACATACCATCACAAATCCTCATCCTCTTCCGTATGGCCGCGCGGTTCCAGTTCGGTTTCGGACCCCTGCGATTTACAGATTTTATGCAGAAAGCCTCGCTCTCACCTCCTCCCTCTTCCTCCTCCTAAGCCTCTCTCTCACCTCCTCCCTCCTCCTCCTCCTCATTCCTCCTTCACTCTCTCTCTCTCTCTCTTCTGTGTGTTTTCGTTCGTCGCGCATTCCTCTTCCTCCTCATCCTTCTCCGTCTTCCTCCTCATCATCTTCCCGATCATCCTCCTCTTCCTCCTCCTCCTCGTCCTCATCCGCCTCCTCCCCCTCTCCCCCTTTTCTGAAGGAGTGCCATAACTTTGGGAAAACCATTGGAAAACAACAAAAAGCAACAAAGAAACTGAAGTGCTGGAGGCGAAAACTTTAGGAAACCCATTGGAAAAATCAAAAAAAAGATTCCAGGGAACACCCGTCCGAAGGGACACGTCCAAAGGGAATCCCAGCACTCTCTGTGGAATCGTTGGTTTTTTTTTCTTGTTGTTTTTTGTTTGTTTTTCCAATGGGTTTCCTAACATTTTCGGCTCCAACAGTTCAGTTTCTTTGTTTTTTTTTTGGGTTTTCCAATGGTTTTCCCAAAGTTTTTGAATTGTGTGCTTTTGGGGCCTCTCAGGCGGGAGCATCGTTTAGAGTGTTCTATCGGGAACCTCTCTGGCGGGAGCCTCCTTTTGTTTGCGTTTTGGGGGACTTCTCAGGCGGGAGCCTGAGGGAGCCATGAGGGAGCCATGGGGGGAGCCACGAGGGAGCCATGGGGGAGCCATGGGGAGCCGTGGATGGGGTGGGGGGAGCATCCTCCTCATCTCCCTCCTCTCCTCATCCTCGTCTCCTTGTCTCCTGATATTGTATATTCTCCTCCTCCTCCTGCTCCTCGTCCTCTGCGCCTCTCGCTTTCTCATGTTCCTCGTCTTCCTCCTCATCTTCATCGTCCTCATCCTCATCGTCATCCTCTTCCTCATCCCATCCTCATCATCATCTTCATCGCCTTCTTATCTGCATATTACATATTCTTCCTCAGCATCATCATCTTCCTCATCCTCACCTTCCACATTCTCATCTTCCTCCTCCTCCTCCTCCTCATCATCATCATCATCATCATCAGCATCATCATCATCATCATCATCATCATCATCATCATCATCATCATCATCATCATCATCATCAACATCAACATCATCATCATCATCATCATCATCATCAGCATCATCATCATCATCATCATCATCATCATCATCATCTCCATGATCATATTCATCTTATCCTCATCTTCCTCACCATCCTTATCTTCCTCCTCACCCTCATCTCCTTATCCTCCTCATCTGCCTGACCCCCCTCATCCTCCAGCGATTGGGATGTGGATCGAGCATGTGTTATTCGTATTCCTCCTCCTCCGCATCTCCTTCCCCTTCCTCCACGTTCGCTTCGTTGTGCAGTGGGTTTCAAAGTTGGCCTCAGACAGTTTGCCCTGACCTGCCATCTTCTCACAACACTCTTTCTGAGCATGAGCGAGGAAGACGAGGAAGAGCGAGGAAGAGGCCGCCTGAGAGGCCCCAAAAGCACACAATTCAAAAACTTTGGGAAAACCATTGGAAAAACCAAAAAAAACAAAGAAACTGAACTGTTGGAGCCGAAAGCTTTAGGAACCCATTGGAAAAAAACCCAAAAAAACAAAAAAAAAATTCCACAGAGAGTGCTGGGATTCCCTTTGGACGTGTCCCTTCGGACGGGTGTTCCCTGGAATTTTTTTTTTTTTTTTTTTGATTTTTCCAATGGGTTTCCTAAAGTTTTCGCCTTCAGCACTTCAGTTTCTTTGTTGTTTTTGGTTTTTCCAATGGTTTTCCCAAAGTTATGGCACTCCTTCAGAAAAGGGGGAGAGGTGGAGGAGGCGGATGAGGACGAGGAGGAGGAGGAAGAGGAGGATGATCGGGAACAGGATGAGGAGGAAGACGGAGAAGGATGAGGAGGAAGAGGAATGCGCGACGAACGAAAACACACAGAAGAGAGAGAGAGAGAGAGTGAAGGAGGAATGAGGAGGAGGAGGGAGGAGGTGAGAGAGAGGCTTAGGAGGAGGAAGAGGGAGGAGGTGAGAGCGAGGCTTTCTGCATCAAATCTGTAAATCGCAGGGGTCCGAAACCGAACTGGAAGCGGCCGCGCCTCCTCCTCCTCCTCCTCCTCCTCCTCCTCCTACGCCTCCTGCAGGTCATCTTCCTCCGTAGCCTCCTCATCTTCACCTTCCTCCCTACTCGCTCCTTTTCCATCCTTCTCATGTTCCCCCCGGGCACCATGGCCCGTGTTCTGTCTATTCCTCGTCGTGCCCCCTTTTCTTCTCATCCTTTTTCCCTCCCGCACGATCTCCCTTCTCCACGTGCTTCTGATGACTCCTCATCCTCCTGATCCTACTCCATGCCCCTCTTCCCCCCTAGTGGCCGAGAAAGTATCCTGGATTCGCTTCGGCACCTAGTCATTCCCAGCTCCCTCCCTCCCTCCTCAACCCCTCCCTCCCTCACCCCCATCATTATGATCCTCATCACCACTCCCCTCCCGATCCGCAATCCCCCTCACTGCTTCCCCTCCCGCCTCATCACTGCCAAATCTCCCTCGCCATTCCTCGTCCTCCTCCCCCCCTCCTCCGTCCTCCTCACTCCGTCCTCCCCCATTCCCCCCTTGATCGGCAGTAGCTTTCCCTTCCTCCTGTTCCTCCCTGCCATCCCTTTTCACCCTTCTGTTTCCAAAACAGATAGTATGCGTGCCTGTTCGTACTTCCCCTCCTTCCTCCTCTCTTTCCCTCCCCCCTTGCCTTATCCGACGCACCCCTACTCCTCATCCTCCCTCCCTCCCTCTCTCCTTCCCGCCCTTCCTCCCTCCCTCCCTCCCTGCCTCCCCCTCTCCCTCGCTCCTTCTCCTCCTCCCTCCTCCTCACTCCGTCCTCCCGCTCCTCCTCCTCCCCCCTCCATCCGCCTGGAGGTCGAGCCGCTCGTGGACGTCGGGCAACCCGCGCCCCGGGCCGAACCTCCGCGGCGACCCCGCCGCCGCGGGGGCGTCGCTGCCGCCGCTCTCCTCGTGAGGCTGGACGGGGCAGCAGGGGTGGAGAAGGAGGCGCAGAGAGGGGCAGCAGGAGGCAGGAGGAGGAGGAGGAGGTACAGAGAGGAGAGCAGGAGGCAGGAGGAGGAGGAGGAGGAGGAGGAGGAGGAGGAGGAGGAGGAGGAGGCAGAGAGGGGCAGCAGGAGGCAGGTGGAGAAGGAGGCGCAGAGAGGGGCAGGGCGGGGCAGGAGGAGGCAGCAGGAGACGGGGGCCGGAGAGGTGGGGGAGAGGTGGGGAGGGTGATCTTGAGGATGCTGATGGTGATGATGCTGATGATGGTGATGGCGATGGTGATGGTGATGGTGATGATGATGATGATGATGATGATGATGATGATGATGATGATGGTGGTGGTGATGCTGATGATGATGGTGAAGTTGATGATGCTGATGCTGATGATGTTGATGACACGGATGCGGCTGATGATGATAGTGGTGATGACGGTGAAGATGACGATGATGATGCTGGTGATTATCATGATGATGATGATGGTGGTGGTGATGATGATGATGATGGTGGTGATGCTGATGTTGAAGATGAGGCTGCTGTTAATGATTATGATGATGATGATGATGATGATGATGATGACGAGGACGCTGATGATGCTGCTGATGATGACGATTATGATACTGCTGATGTTGCTGCTGCTACTGATGATGATGATGGTGATGATGATGATGATGATGATGATGATAATGATAATGATAATGATGATGATGATGATGATGATGATGATGATGATGATGATGATGATGATGATGATGATGATGATGATGATGATGATGATGGCTGGGCGTACACAACCACCTGAACTAAGACCCAAGAAGGACTCCCTCTTTCGACAAGACTCTGGATACGGAGCCAACGCACAACATGACCAAGACGGAGACGATCGGTCTCTTGCCTCGGGTGCAACTTACGGGCACTATCTTGGGAGTCGCCAGGCTGGATCGTTCAAACCACATCCGAAAGGGTCATGAGCGGCCTCGTCTTCAAACTCGGCCTCGACCCCCCATCTCTTCCTCCCAGTCGGGAGGAGGAGGGGGAGGGGGAGGCATGAGAGGGGCGGAGTCCAAATGAGTACGGCGAGGGAGCTGGGCCTCGAGGAACCCGGTGGACCGATGGGGCAGGGGTCTGGTGAGGGCACGCTTCTCAAAAATCGTACCACTTCGTTTGTGCATGGCAAGGGTTCAAGGAAAACCGGCCCCTGGCGTCTTTACTTCGCGAGACTGGAGGAGGGGTGGGCCTTGGGCGGTTCCAGCGACAGGCTGGTCCACGTGTTTGAGCAAATCGCCAGCGAGCGGGGCGACGGCTCCGCGGTCCACTCCGTCGTCGCCCCGATGGGAGAAAAGCGTGCTCAATGGTGAACAGCTCGGGCTTCGCGAATCTGGCCTGATGCACGTGGTGCCATCTGTCCGCCCAGCTACTCGTGGAACGGGGAACAACTGTCAAGAAGACTGTGGAGCTCTTTTGCACACTGTTCAGTGTCGCTATAGGTTCACACGGGTTCCTCGGCAGCTCGCACAACGCGATGGAGCGCTCGAGCTTCAGGACGGGCATTGCTTTGTCGGGGTAGATAT